ATAAGCAGGAGGCGATTATGTCTACTAAAATAATGCAGTTTGAGAAGCTTTGAGCAACCTGATCCATTAGAAGGTATCCCTGTCTGTGGCAGGGGGGCTGGAACTAGATCATATTTAAGGTCACTTCCAACCCAAACCATTCTGTGATTCTACATGAGTGGTCTAATATCTTCTCCTACCAAATACATAGGAGTGAGATTAGATTCACTGAAATGTGTACTTTAGCAGGTACAATTTCAGGTAAGAGTAGCTATTACAGCACAAAAGTTATTAAGCGTCAACATTTTCACTGTCCTTTTTATTTGGACACATTCAGCAGTCAGTGTCTCATGTCAATGTTTTAAAAGCTCAATTTGTAGTCAACAAACTGTAGTATTTATATGCTAATGAATGTTTTAATTTTTGATGTGCACTTAGAATTGTCCGTTGTCATGACCTAATTAAAATGATTATGTGTTTTCTGTCTGTGGGAAAGAACAATTGGTTTGACAGTGTCTATAACATCAATCCTTATCAAGTAGGAGAGAATCGTGCTTAGGCAGTAGGACAGAATAATTAAAAATGTTGCATTTGGTTGCAATTTTTGGAGGAGTTGAGGTAGTCATTCCAGTAAAATAGATGTGGTTTATGAGGGGTATAAAGTTATTTAGGGTGTTGTCTGTTTTTGTTGCATTGCCCTTTTTCTGCCCCTTCTCCAATATCCAACACAATAATTTCTCAGAGGAAGAGATAAGCCGTGAGAGTGACTTCCTCTGCCGCTCCCTTTTCCACATCGGAAACCTGCAGGATTACAAAGGAGTGACTTAGTCAAATCTGATCCACAGATATTTAATTTTTAATTTGTTTAGTGTTGGTGAAGGTGCCAAGCTGTGAGCTTTGGGAACTAAAACACCCTGTGAATTTAACCAGATTTTGTGCTCACTTGGACCGTGGGGACCAATGTGTTGCAGGACCTATATCATGAAAAGCCGGGGTCTGAGCTGATTTCAGGGCTATGCTGGCAGGAAATTAGCTGTAGCTTAAGGTCCAATATATTGTGTTGTGGGGGAGGAGGAGGAGGAAATGAAGGAGCATGTTTAAGGTGACCTTTAAATAACAGCCTTGCCGAGTTGCCCAGTTTTTGGCAGCAGTGGCCTTACTCTCTCTCTTGTCCATTCCCTAGTTTATGGGTACAGAATCTCCACCAAATTATGCAGGTGCCTTTCTGTGAACACACTGCTTTCGTTTGACAGTAGGCTTTAACGGGTTGGGGAAAGATGAGTTTATACTTCAGCGGTTTTGAAGGTAAGTATAGGTCCTGGTGAGTTTTACTTTCCCATTAGTTTGAGCCTATCAGGACTTTTGCTTGTAAATAAATGAAGTAAGGGAAAAAAACCAGTTTGATTTAATCAGGAGCAAGTATATTGTCCTCAGATTATGGAGGAAAAAAGTCAGTCAACTTGGTAATTGAGCAGTCCATTCATGTAAGTAGGTGTGCTACACCGTGGGAAACTTAAATCTCTGGGCACCGAAGCCATCAGCACTCATTCATCAAATTTAGTTCAGGGTGGAAAAAATTTAGGAGGCTTTCTTGCCTCTAAAATAGACTGTGTTTTACTGAAACAGACCCTAATTATTTGAAAACCACCTTATTTCAGAACAAATAAAACTCTAATGATGTTGTGTGGGTGGTGTCAATGACAGTTTTTTGTCCTTGCCCTCCATCACTTGGGGTTTCATCTCTTTTCCGTGGGTGGCTGCACACTGCTGTAGGAGCTTCTGAAGAGAAGTGTCAGAGATGGGAGAGTAGACAGGAGGTGCCAGGAGCTGCTGGTAATGTTTTGCAAGAAACTGAAAATGAAGAAACAATGAAGTGCCGAAAAGCCTTGAAGGAGAGAAGGCCCAAATTAAGAACTTTGTTTAAAATTGACTGTTTATTTTCAGTCAGAGGAGCACTTTAGCAATGCCTGAGGTGTTGCAACCCACTTGGTTGGTAATCTAAGAGCAAAGCGGGTGCCATAGCAGACTCTGCTGAAGGGAGGTGGTATCAGCCTGGGCAGCAGTAAAGGAATGGGAGAGAAACCAAACAGTGAGGAAACATTGCCCTAAATCTATGGACAAAATTCTGGGTAGAGCTGTACCTGTGACTTGGTTGAGCTGCAGCTCTGTGCTCCTAAGCTGAGGGAAAGGAGTTTTTACTGTCAAGCCACCCTGTGTTATAATATCTTGAAACTGGAATCCTTTGTTTGACTGGCCGCCTGTTTGAGTCGTGAATCACTGTTTCTTCTGGTCGTTAGTGAAACAAAACTTAATTTGGCCTGGGCACTGTAGAGATGAAACATGATTGGTAATGCTGTATACATTCATTTCAGATGACTTTATAAATCCCAGATGAAATAATTTTTCGTCATTCCAGCCAAGGCAGAGCACGGCATGTGCTCTGTAACGAGAGTCAGCCTTGCTGGTTGTTGGATGAGGCCCGGCATAACCCTCATCTGAAATAATATGATTTCATGAGAGCAGATAAACTGTTGATTTTGAGCTGTTCATTTGCTTAGCTAATTAATTCATTAATTGTTTGTTGTTTATGCTGACAGTAGAGTTTTAGAAAGTTCTTCCCCCAAAAAAATCCAATTATGGCTAGGTGATGGCTTCTCTGATCTCTCATCCTCTAAGAAGAGGGATGTGTTCTCAAAACATGTTCAGTTCTCAAACATGAACTGAAGCCATATAAATATTTAACCTTAAAAAATACATTCTTCCTTTTGGCTATTAGCAGACCCACGTATTCATCAAACTGAACTGAAGATTGAATTTTCAATTACATAGGAACCCTTCCCTCCCAGCTTTTCTCTCTTTACTGTGTGTCACATGGATTAAGTGGTAGCCATCATTTTAGGAGATAGAAAGGATGGGGTTTTTGGTCATCTTACCAATGGTTTTAACCATAAAGCAGCAATGCTAGAGATGTAGGAAATCTAATTATATATTTTTCCTTTTTTTAAACCAGCCCTTTCTTCTGCCTTTTAGTTCTCAGTTGTCCATATTTTAGTTTCCTGTTTGATGATATAATATACTTTTGCTATAGAACAGTGGGAAATGTTGAGAGTCACTAGTTTTCTGCATCAAGCTGAACATGTCCTGAGAAGGTAAATTTTTGGTTCTTTTCTGTGGAGCTCTGGGCTTGAAGTGCAGTATTTCTAATAGCGATTACGTGAGTGATATGCCGAGACGGCAAGGTAGCAGCAGTTTTAATAGGATTTCTGTCCTACTCCTTCACTTCTCATAGGCAGGTGAAAGGCCGAGAGCCTGTTTGACAAGTAGTAGAACCACTGCTGACTCTTGCTGGGGTCCACTGTCTGGCAGCTGCAGCACTGCCAGGGGGTCCGCAGGCACCCCCCAGCCCTGCTTCTGGCAAGGAAGGCACCTGGGATGCTACGCAGGTTTCAAGTTTGGAGGATGCGAGGCAAGCTGGAAGGAGTTAGGGAAGGAGTCTCTCCATGGAGCAGAAGACCCACCAGGGTGAAAAGGGCGATAAATGTTTCACGTCAACAAAATAACCTGTTGAGCGTGAAACTTGGGTTGAAAAGCTATCTGCTGTCCAGGGTGTTTCCCACAGTCTTCTCTGGAGAACTTCAGTTCTGTGGTGCTGGAGAGGGCAGATGTGGTGGGTGAGACCCCCTGGAGGTTTGGTGCTCTGAGGGTCTCCTTTCTCTCCCAGGCTCCATGGAAAGCAGTGCCCTTTCCCAGGAACCACGGATTGCGTGCTCTTGGAGGAGGTGGTCAGGGTGGAACCCACCTCTTGCTGTGAGGATGGACAGGTGCCCAATACAGTGGAAACTCTCCCCTTGGGAGTAAGAAATGACCTCTGCAGAGAAAAAGTGCTGCAAAGTGAAACCGGCGCAGGGGGGTTCCTGAGGGAGCAGAGGGGAGGCAGAGCACCTTGGGGGGAGCAGGTAAGGGAGAAGCCCAGAGGTCATGGTGAAGGAGCCTCCCTCTGCAGGGATTAGCAACCAGCTCCCCTCTGCCAGGGCTGTCCTCCCAAGCGAATAACGTGAAAAAGCATGACAAGGAAAGTCTGTGCAACAGAGACCTGAAACATTGCGGCTGTGACGACTGCAGTTAATTAAATAGGTGGCTTGTCTCTAGACAGCCCCAGACATCTGTCTCCATTCTTCACTTGTTTTTCTGCCACGTTTCTATTTGCTTGTCCAGAGTTAAAGCCCAGAGGACCTACAGATGGTCACCATTAATTTTGTCACTTGATGCAGGTTTTTTTAAAGCTTTTTGGTGGACCTTTTGAAAAACAGATGTATGTATAAAAAAATCTTTTTATAGAGCAACTCACTAGAGATCTTCTATTTGGATTTAGATTTCATTTTAGTCTTTAGAGGCTGGGATTTAATTTTGGTGTTTCTTTTAAGCCAAGTCTCTTGTAGCCATAGCAATTTTATTTTATTTTTTTTTTTAATAAAATTTAAAGAATCTCTTTGTATTCCTTGTCTGGCTTCTTTGGAACCTCAGAAATCATTATATGCCAAAACATTTTCTGTGTTTTGGCTCACATACCTGTTTTTTGCATAGGTTTCTTTGTGATTTCAGGATGCTGGTGTTGCGTGGGCTGAAACTGGGCTATACGCTTTCAAAAATAAAATCTGCAGGAAAGTCCAACCTTGTTAATGATTTCTTAAGGAAGCCACAGGAATGCAGACAAAACTCAGGGTCTGTGACTAGTAACTGTCTGCACGGAGTCAGGGTCATAGATAATAGCAGATTATAAAGTCAAATTATATGGACTTTTAAACTGATAAAACAACTGCATTAATTTTTTTTTTTCAATCTCCACATTAAACATGGAGCATCCTTTCCAAACGTCTGTTAACGTGTTTCTTTTTGAGTTGTCTCTGCTAATTTTACCGTAAGAAAAGCCAGTTTTGTTCTGTATTTCACACTTGAAAAATGTTCTCAGATACATTTCTTAATGCAACATTTTTTTCTTTTGTTACTTTATTTGCAGCTTGAAATTTACCTAGCTCACTTGAATTAACGTATTAACCATCCCGTAGAAGACGAATATGATACCGAACAGAAGTAACCTCTCCTCCTTTCAGAATGTTGGATCAGGTAATCAGTTAATAAAAATGAATTTTGTTTGTAAATGTACTGAGATCTTTCAGAATTTGTAATTGAATTTGGTCCTCTTATTCTCCTGACACATGGATAAGATCAGCACACTGTTCTTATTCCATGTCTAACTCCATTTACCAGCTGAAATCAGGCCACAGCTGGATGTGCTGCAGCCAGCCAGCCCTCCCCCCTCAGTTTAATGCCTGACTGGAACAGATATCAGTGACCCCCAGCTAAACAACTCGGGAAAGGAAGAAAAGAAAAAGAATGAGGAGGGGAAAAAAAAAAAGGAAGAATTTCCTGCTGTTTAGCCTCCAGGTCCAGGCAGCACATACTTTGCTGAGCGGAGGAGCCTTGCAGTATGCGCTGGAGGTGACCGAGGGAAAGCTGGGGCTGACCTGGGTGCCGGATGGGCTCAGGGCGCACCACATGCCAGAGCTCCTGGCACCAGTCCATATAACTCTACATGAAGGCAGCATCAGCCAGGATGTGTAACGCATCCTAGCGTATTCATAGAGTTTTATCCCAAACATTACCCTAAAAATAAACAAAACAAACAAGATCTGGTTTGTGGGAAGCAGCTAAGGTTCAGTTAAACATGTGCTGTAGTTCAGCTGGGATTTAACTATATGCTTGCGGGCGCTGTGGCGCTGGAACCGGAAACGCAGAAGAATTGGCATGAGGTATAGTAGAGAAAAGTTAAATCAGAATGGCTACACGAAGGTACCGTGACCTTTTCTTCCTGTGCTTGTTTGGATTTCAAGTACAATGAACCCTTCATTGCTGTGGTGAACAGGCCTGAAAGTTTCCATGAGCTAACTCATTTTTTGGCAAAAGCATCCAGTCTTTGTAGGATTAAGTATGCCCTACTGGTATTGCAAGGGAGTAATAAACAATTATTAATGTCCCTTTAATGTGTCTGCTAAGCTATTTATATAGGAGACAGTGGATTTTATGCAAAAAACATCTGAACTTCAGCTGTGTTCAAGTTATGATTTGGACAGTACATTTTGATATGAGAATAGCTTTCAATTTTAAGAGAGCTCTGGAAGAGGGAGGAGAAAGAGATGAGGGTGGAAATTAGATTCTGTTTCACACTGAAAGGCTAAGTATTCAAGGCATATACATTGTGCTTTATATCTGTGCTCTTAAATAACTTTTACATCTTGTTCTTATTCCTTGTTAACACCACTAATATGATAAATGCTTGATCTTTTCCAGCTGATTTTGTCTTGTTCTGTCTTTTTCTGTTGAATGTGGGTCATGTCCTCCTTGTGTTCATTTAAACTTCATCATTGCTGTTGATGAGAATTTGTGATATAACTAAAAAATGTCAAATAAAATGTCAAATTATAAGAAACTGCAGTTTCACTGCCCACAGTGGTGAAGGTCTGATGGAGAGCTCTGTGAACTTACTGGTTCAAAGGCATCTTAGATAGTTGTATCGTTTCAATAAACATGTTAAAATTACAGCAAATAAAATCACAGTCAGCATAAAAATATTAAAATCCGTGTAGTAGTAAACCTGAGGCTTGGTTTTGAAGCTGCAAGTTAGTGGTTTTGGCCACTACCAGAGCTTGTAATTAACACATGCCTAGCCAGGTCCACTATGCTTAAGGTGTTTGATTATTTTTTGTTTGTTTGTTTCCCCCTGCCCCTCCAGTAATGCTGAGTCCTTTTATCTTTTGCCTATTCAATTACATTATTAATTGTGGTTACCTTTGTTCTTAAACTTATGCATTTGTTCTTAAGGAGTTGAGGAGAATGTGTTGTTACACACTTACCACAATTTGTATAGAGGAAGCCCATGCAACAGAGGTCTACTGAATGGTGCCCTGGACAGTAATGAATTCCAAGGCATTTTGCCTTCTTAGCAAGGAAGGTCCCAGAAACAAGGACCTGCTCAAAGAATGCATTGCCACCTTCCACTAGATGTCTGAACCTAGTGATCCTCAATGAAACCAGATCATATCAGCTCTGGTGGGGGGCAGGAGTCCAAGTTTTGTGTCTAGGTTCATATAATTGTCTGAAGTGGTACTTGGAAGAGGATTAAAGTATTGCCTCTGAGGATTTTAAAGGAACTTTACACATTTGGATGTTAGGTTTTCCTGCTGACAAGCTGAGATTAGGTTTCTCATGAGGTGTCTGAAGGTGAAATGTAGCTGAGCCAAGAGCAAATCCCAGATTTGACCCTTACTTTTGGAAGCAACACTCGCTGGCACTGCAGGAGCTGACACTGAAGAGAGCTTTATTAGTTTGAAGCACAGCCTAGCACATCTAAGGAGCTGCTGTGAATGTTAATGGTGCCATTTCTACATCAGCTGAGGTCTAAGTGCAAGCCTGCTGGGGGTCTTGTTTATCTCCTGCGGCGGCTGACACTGTCAGGAGCTGAATTCCTATCTTTACTTTCAGCAAAGGGGCACTCAGAACTGTAGGCTGGAGCTTGACACGTTGTTGAGCAATAACATCCACCACAGCAAAGGCTTTTTTTGTCGGTGTCCTCTTGCAGAATATGAATTATAATTCTGAACAAGCATTAGGATGTGGAACCTTAAACTCCTGTCAGTGTTTTTAATGGTCATGTGATTTTGTTGATGTTTTGAATGAAATCACGGGGCCCTGGCATTATACTTCCTTAAGGCTATCTTTTAACTGAAGTGCTCTTTGAAGATGTAGTAAAAGCTTTGTATTTTCAGAGCACTGAGCTGAAACACTTTGAAAAACAGGCCTTGGTTTTGCACTTTTCATGAGGCTTTGTGTGACAGTCCACACAGTAAGCAGAAAGGTGACAAACTCCTAATGAATTGAGCTCATGACTATATTGGCGCTCAGATGCACTATCTGCATAGGTTAAAAGAAGAGGTGGTCCAGAGCAGTATCTTATGTTCTGTATCCTGAGCCCTGGGTGACCTGCGTTCAGTTCTTTACTCTGCTGGCTGCTTTGCGTCTTCTCCCTGCACTTCAGTACCTCAGCTGTAAAATGACAGGACAGTAGTGCTTCCTTACTTCACAGACATCTTAGAAGGCTCAGGATTATTAGAGCTGAGCTACAGACTCCTGCAATGGATAGGGCACCAAAGAAAGAATCTAGCCTTTTTCCAACTATGTTGCTGATTTGTAGTATGAATTTGGTGATGTCCTTCTTAGCCCTTCTTTTTTAGTCTCCATCTTTTGCAAAAACGGAGATGGGAAAGCTGTGTATCCCCTCCTTTGGTTAACGATCTGAGACACTTTTATTATAAGCCCAGTAATTACTACAAAAAGTGTTCTTTTCAAGTTAACGTGCAGGCGTGCACATGCAAGAGGCTACTTACTTGCTGAAAACTTTTTTTTTCTTGTTTTCTCTTCCTTACAGATTCCAGTAAGGTTATGGCAGAGTACAGCCACACACAAAACCAGATGGAATTACAAAATGCTAGTTTGGGAAAGGGTTCTGTGGCAAATTCCCTTGAAAATGGTCTCCAGGATATTATGGAAAACCTCAACCCAAAGAAATACTCATCAAGTCTCAAATTTAAAACAAATGGGGACTATGCTGGCTCATATTTAACCCTTTCACAACCTATGCCAATTAAACCTAATCCTTCTTCTAGTGTTAAAAATACACACTCTATTACCAAAATTCAAGGAGGCAAGCAGTTCCCCTGTGAAAGCCCATATCTTCCAGATAAAAGCATCTCTGTAAAGCATTTGGGTTCCGTATCGGGCACTTCTCCATCCTTCAGCGGGTACAATTTAGGAAGGACAGACTTTGATATTCATGCCAGCAGAGAAAATGAAAAATCCCTTGGACACATGGATAAGTTTCACTACTCAAAGTACAGTCAGAAAAACAAATCTTACGACAATGTCTACTTCCCAGGAATGCTGGAGACGAAGAAGATCTCGGGCTCCCTTCTGACCATGTGGAATGGAAGCTCAGGGAATGAGCTGATGCTTTCACCTGCTAGCAACTCGGGGGCGGCCAGCATGCCTTCTAGCCCAAAGCAAGGAAGAAGGATGAATATTGAAGACAGCCTGGCCCTTCACATAAAATCAGTTAAGCACAAGGATGTGATGATGGAGACTCTGGGTTCACGGCCTAGAAAATACTCTGGTGGATCTCTAAGTCATATGGGAATGTACAGTCGTTCCCTACCCAGACTTTATAAATCAACAGAAAGCCAGCTGGTGCCATTAAGTTTGCCCCCCAGAAGCTCTCTGGGTAATACTAAAAGGAAAAAACTTGGAGAAAAAGATCTACCTCAGAATGCTTTAGATGCTGATAATTACCTGAATTTTTCTTCTTGCAGCTCAGGGGTCTCACCACATGCAAACTCTGTCTCTGGGAATAATCCCTATGTAAGCTCAACTCTTAGTGTTCCTGCAAGCCCTCGAATTGCTAAAAAAATGCTTTTAGCACCTTCTTCCCCATATCTTTCTGATGATTTTGATAGACTTGGACTCTCAGGAACAAGTCCCAGTAGTTCTTTCTCCCCAGTGGATTTTGACAGGTCGTTCTCTGTCCGAAGAAACCTTTCCACCAGTTCCGTGGAACTGGATGACCCAGATCTGGAAAGTTACAGGCAGACACCAAACTCACTGCAAACGTCCATGCGAGAGCGGAAGAACAGCATTAGCTCCATTTCGGGAAGAGAAGACCTTATGGACTATCACAGGAGGCAGAGGGAAGAGAGCAGGAGATGGAACGGCTGGTAATTTTTTCTTTTCCTCTTAGTTTTTTGTGGCAGTTAGCATTTGCAAAACCTCCATCCCACACCTAGCCATCAAGAGGGTACAACAAAACATAAGCAGCTGTGTTTTGAAATGCAAATGTTGCTTGCTTCAAATGTCTTGTTTTCTATCACAGTCCACGAAGCTGATGCTGAAATAGCGTGCTGCTGTAACAGCTCAGATAGACGGTACCATTCAGCCATCTTAAAAAAAAATTGTGAACCCAAGTAAATTGTGTTCAGTAATCCTTCAGGCTATGTTAAAATGTCCATGTGCATAAAACCCACAAATTGCACTGCAGAGATCCAGCACTTGTTGTTTTATATGATGGCACTGTTTTGTGGTAAGTGGGTAAAAAAAAAAAAAGGCTCCAGTATAAGCTGCTCAGTGTTGTGTGTGCTGTGCTGTGGAGTCAGGTATGCATTGGTTTGGGTTCAGCGTCCATCGTCGGAGCTTTCTCTGCCTGGTTATGGTTTTTCCTACTGAGTATTCTCATTAAAATACAGGCCTTCTTGCTTCTCCCCGTCCCGAAATGGAGGGTAGGAGAGGGGGACAGTTTATCTCTTTGTCTCCAGTCAGCATAGAGCAGTGCATACTGCTTTGGTTTGGGATTAAACTAGACATTAAAATGTAACTTATATTATTGAAACAACTTCTGGGTAGGAAAAATAGGTCTTCAGAATACATAAAGAGTGTTGAAACAGTTTCATATGGAAACTTTCCTTGAGAGTGTATTTAGTATTTCTTTGGAGAAAGTTTCTGCAGTGGCTACACAGCCTGACCCTGTTCACATGCATTCATACATTTTGTCATCCACATAGAAACCAAGGTCGTTAAATGGGCCAACTTGTATTACTGCGTCTTAGATTTGAGACATTAACTTCACATTTGTGTGCTTTAATTCCAACCTTTATGGATTTGAACAAAATGGGGATAAGATGTTCTTAAACTTTCTAGTTTGCCTACAGACAGTGAGCCTGCGGGGGAGTTCTCTTCGCGGGCAGGCCGAGGTGAAAAGCCGTGGGCAGGGTGGCCCGGTGCCTGTGCAGACCCACGACTCCTGTGTTGAGCTGCACCTGCGAGCAGGTTCAGCTGTAGCATTGTAACCTGTTCAGATGTTTCTCTCCTGTCTCAATGCCAGCTGGCGAGGAGCCTATTACACAGGCAGGAGCCAGCCTTTTCATCCCTGTTCTGCTCAGCACTGTAGGTTTGCAAGATGTGAAAACATTGGGCCTTGCCTGCTTAGAGCCAGGGCTGTAGAGTGAAGGCGCAGGTGTGAGGGGGTGGCGGGCACTGCCGCTGTCCCCCCTCGGTGAGCCCCCTTTGCCCCCTGAAACCTCGTCCAGCTTCCCTTGAAGCTGCAGGTTCCCAGGAGCAAGGCAGGGGCTCCCCAGGGCGAGGAGGCCCACCTGCGAGTGGAGACGACCGGGTGGCTTTGAAAAGGTTGTGCTTGTGCACCCAGAAGTGGGAAGTACCAGCAGAAATGCTGGTGGGTTGTTTCTCTCTCTTCCTGCTGCCTTCTCCCTGCCATTCCTCCGCTCCTTTTGGAAATCTCCCTTCTCCCTAGTCCTTGTGTTTTGTGTGTGCAAAGTGCTGTTTGCTTCTTATCAGAGGATTTTCCAGACAGTCATGCTGTAAAACCTGAGATAATCAGTCATAAAGGACAATGTAGTAGAGTGTATTGGTATTTCAAAGAGAAATAGTTTGGGGTTTGTTTGGTGGTGTTTTTTTTTTTTTTTTTTGTGGTGAGGGATGGAAGATATGGGGTTGTTTCAGTATTCAATGATGCTAAAAATTGTTCTGTTTTAATATTTGAATGTAGTGTCTGCATTCCCCACCTCCCCTCTGTTTCTTTTCTTGCCAGACAATACTTCCTTTGAGTCCTGATTCTTTAAGAAGAGGATTTCCCTACTGTTTTTCCAAGCACATTAAATTTTTGAAAAAAGATGATGTTTTGTGTGTTGCATGTAGTTTGAACATGAAGGAACTTCCTCCTGCTTGAGTTAATCTTCTGTTGAGGATTCAGATCAATATCTTTTTTCCCCTTGTTTTGACATATCTGGTGGAAGAATTGAGTATCAGGGGAGTGCCTCCTTCCAATGGTTTGAGGGTCTGAAAAATGCCATAAATAGGCTTTTAAGATCTCTGAGAGGAAGGGATATATTTGGCTTTAAAAAAAAAAAATCAATCCCCACATCAGCTCTTTGTACATTAGGGCCCATCCTGTTTGTTTTATTTTTGTCCTTCTGTGTGGATGGGTCTATCCAAACAGGGTCTTCATATATCCAGCCTGAGTTCCCAAAGAGCGACTTTGACCCTTGCGAAATGTGAGATGGACAAAGGTTAGAGATCAGGTCTGCTTAGGTCTCTTTTTTGGGGGGGAGGGGTAGGGGAAGGTGTTAATAAAAAACCTGAACCAAATAGGCACCCATGGATGGCAAAACTGTGTGCTTTGGGTTCTTAGCACTGAGTAAGAGTCCAGATGTAGTGGCTGGTAGGTAAACAATAGGGGCCACATAGTCTATCTTTGCACAAGTATTAGACTATTATATGCTGTGCTTTTTGAAGCAAGGTAGAGAGAAGAAAAATGTAGGACTACTCAGAGAACTTAATCAGAAACACGAGCCTCCTTTTTGGAGGACTAGACCACTCAACAGCCCTGATAATGAAATGGAGAGCATCTTCTTTTGCTACTGCCTCTGTAGCTATCCTGCTGGCACGTAGTAGGTTTGGGGGTATTGCGTTTGATAGCTGCCCTTCACCTCTTGATTATTTTTTTTTTAATTTTTTTTTTTTAGTAAAACCTGTGAACACATTGTAGTCTGACCTAGTATCTGCCCTTAGTCTCTTCTATTTACTTACACTTTTTTCTTTTTTCTTTCCATATACATTGTTCTGTGAGTTTTATTTGTGCTTATTTTGCATTTTAAGTGACAGAGGCTCCTCTGAAGTTTTCATTTTGAGCTGCTGCTACAGCTTGCATGTGTACCCATATGGTCTGCTGTCATTGCCTGTGGTACAAATAGTGAAAATACGCATTGCAGTTTTTTTTTCTGAATGATTTAACATATGAGTTTTAATGTGTTCCCATGCACCAAATAGAAAAGACATGTATGTACTTGTGTAGGATTTGATGTTTCTCCCTCTCTATTTCTTTTGATTTGCCTTTTATGGCTGGGTTCACCCAAACTAGCTGAAGACTGGTGCCACTTCTGTTTGGCCAACCTGTTCCTCTGTGACTTGAGGAGTGCGAGGAACTGAAGTTCGCATTGCTGCCATCCCTCCAGTGTTACTGCTGAGCACTGGGGACTGGTGGGCTGTGGGAGACAGTGGGATGGCGTGAAATTGCTCCCAGAGCTTGCACAGGCAGCTGGCTGGTAGGTCATATCTGCTTCTGCCTCCTCCTCAGACCAGCCCACCAGGCATTGCGTCTTGGTGTGGGGATGTTTATGCAAACTTTACAGAAGTCAAAGTCAGAGTTAGCTATTGCTGAAGCTAGCCCAGGAGCCTTATAAACAAGGGAAAAAAATATCACTGATCTAAGACTATTAAACGAGATTCAGTTAGCTATTGATTTTTTTAAAAATTTTTTTTTAAAGAGGAAATCTCACTCTCTTTTTTCTTATCTGAGATAAAAGCCCAACTGTGGTAGCTGCTGGAACTGAAAGGCAGTCTTTCTCTTCAGCCTGTGGGGAGGGGGTGGAACAGCACAGGCAACATAGTCAGATAGATATTAAGGCCATCTGTTTTGTTTGATACCTGCTAATTTGAATAGCACTGAAGTTGATTTTTCTACTGCTGTTTTTTAGGCAGTACAATGTATTTCCTCTAGATGGTGGTAGGTACTTAAAAATTGCATGTACAGTATCTGCATGATAGCTTCCATAGTCCAGCTGTCTGTACAGATCTGTAAACATATGCTTGTTAATGAAGTTTTATTAGATGCAGGAACTGTGCTGGGAGAGATTTCAGCTTATATGACCGATGCCTGAACGAGCAATGTTAAAATTCAAAGAGCTTATTCCATAGTCCACTTTTTCACAGTCAGAAGAGCATTGAATTTCATGAAGCTTATTCAGCAAGTAAGAAATAATACAGAATATTCCTGTGCCTGTTTTGCATTGATGCAGTAGGATGTGCTCACGTGAGCTGAAAATCAAATGAAAATATTTTTGAATTTTCAGGGTGGTACTGCTTTAAAATAATGGTTAATAGAGCTTAACATAAATCTCCCATACAGCTTGGAAAAACCTCATATACGTGTTTTATAAATTTATATTGGCACTGTGTTTTTTTATAGACTCTTTAAATATAAAGTACCCAAGCTGTATATAAAAGTGTAAGTGACTGAACTCGTACAGGAACCCCAGCCAAACAGACAAAGGCTAGATCAGGGTGATTTTTCCCACCACTAGTATTTGACAGCCAGTGTTACAGAATAGCTGTGTAACAACAATTTAGTTTAGTAAATGAACAAGTGCTGTATAATAGGATAAAAACACCCTGCAGAATATAACTGATGACTCAGTAGTCCCAAGTGCGGACTACATATACTTAATTTATGCAGCTATAAGTTTTATGCAAATGGACAATATGAACCAAGAAGAAATCAACTTCAGGAGACTTATTTTCATTTACAGAACTTAAGTACTGCACTGGAGCTGTAGTCTTCAGGCTTCTGCCCTCAGTGTGATTTGAAAAGGAGCATCTGCATAGGTGCGGGAGGGGCAAAAGGGCAGTGGTGTGAAGAAAACACACCACTTTGCTGAAAACATGGGCTTGTGCCTCTGGATGCTGAGAGGTGATAATTCGCAAGTGCATGCTGTTATTCTGGAAGCTGACAGCGTTTCCTCAGGAGCTGAATACACATGCCTGCAGATAGAGCAGCTAATTCTGCAGAAAGTCGCCTGCTGGGTTCCTCCCTGGAGGCTGGCTCTACTCCGTGCTGCTGATCTCTTCTGCTTTTGCCACTCTGTTTTTTCTGTGCCTGCACCAGGAAGGTAAGGACAAGGTGTGCCAGCCTGGTCCCTGCACCCAGTCCTCTGCTTGGAGCTGCGGTGGTCTTTCTCCGTGCAGGTGTCTCTGCTGTCAAAGGCTGCCTGTGCATTGCCCATGAGAGACAGACATGAAATCCAGGCGCTTCCTCTGAACTCTCTGCTGGTAGCGGTAACTTCAGAGCCAAAAGACTAACTAGAGTAAAACAAGGACTGAAAATTATAAAATAAAGGAAGCCAGAGTGAGAAACTGGTGCAAACTGGAGAGAAGGGGAAGAACAGCTGGCAAGCTGCTCTCAGACCCGGTTAAATTCTGTCTTTGAATTCCAACAGGTGTGAAATCACCAGTTTTTTAGAAACACAGGAAGGACGGAGAAACCTTTCTCCTGCCTCTTGTCCATGGGGTACTGAATGTGTTTGTAAGAAAGTCAGTCTGGGGAGTTTCTGCTGCTCTCCTTCCTGGTCTCTCAGCTGCTTTCCCTTTCATCCTCCTTTACTAGCTGCTGCTCCAAGCTTGTGCTGTGAAGCTGGCTTTTTGCCTGCCCATGGTGTTTTTAAAGAGCAACAGTGGAAAAGTGCCGAGTTTTGGTAGCTGGAAGGAGCAGCAGCCTCTTCTTTGAGCAAAGAGATCCCTGGCTGTACGGACTAGCCATAATCTCATTAGCGTCAGTCATAGAGAATAGACTGCAAATGTATTTTTAGTGAGATCTGGAGTTATCCAGTTGCTAGTGGCACTTATCTAAAAAGCTTCCTGCTTCCCACAGCTGATTAAGCAAGTCTTGCCTTGATACCTAGATACAGCATCACTTCTACACATTTGTAAAATTCAGATACGTGACATGCAGCAGATGCACAAATCCGGGAATCACAGACGCAGTTGCTGTTAAAAGATTGGGAGGTATTTATCTCTAGTATTTTGAAATATTTTTCTTTACAGTGTGACAGAGATGTCTCTCAATGTAATTGTTAATCAGTAGCAGAGGAGGGTTATTATCCCCTTATCCCACCCTCCTTCTTCAGCACCTAAATTTGCAGCCATCCATAGATGCTGCATAGCTTTCTGAAAGCCAGGAGTGGTGAACCTGCCTGGGCAGAAAGTGCACAAGACCTATGTACCCCTTTCATAGCAGGTAAGAGATCCACTGAATATACACAAAGATGTTTTAGTCTGTTAGAAAGGACACTGAAAGGCTTACAAGGCTTGATTCAGCACCCCTCCCTAGAGCCAGAACGAAATTTAAACCAAGTTCCTTTTTTTCACATACCTTTTTTTCCCTCTGCTGTGTTCGGCGTCACAAATAACTTGCGTGGTACTTCTTGCAAAATTATTGACTAGATTTTCCATATGCTGCTGCTGCTGTAATTTTCATTGCAGGGGTGCTTTCCTAGCTTGCTGCTTGACTCAGAAGTCTGTGCTGCAAACAGTTAAGTGCAGGTGTGCTGGAGCTGGAATGAGTTGGCCAAGATGAAATGATGAGAATAGAGTGTATAAAATAACCACACAGCTTCCTGTCCATAAGCCTCTTGGCACATGTCAAAATAGAAGTGAGAGGTATCGGTATTTCTGTAATGTGTCTGAAAGTTCATCAGGAATTTTTTGAAGACTGGCAGAGGTTTGCCTGGAATTTTTAAGCTTTCCTGAGCAGCTGAGACTGAGGGGAAAAGAGAGGTGTTTTTTTTTTTGTTTGTTTTTTGTTTTTTTCTGACTGCTCAGCCAAGGGCAGGTTTGCAGGGAGAGCCCCTTACCTGAGTGCCTAGGCTAGGGTGAGCAGCAGCTGTGCTTTGAAATTTGCTTTTTCCTGTTATTATTGAAAGGATGGAAGCTTAGCACGGGGAAACCTGATATACCCTGTTGTTGCAGGGAAGGATGGGAGTTCATGCCCTGGTGCCACATTTCCCATCTATAACCATTACAACAACTGTATGAAAGGGCCAGGCCTGGTGCCGTCACACCAGGGAGAGCTGCGTAATTACCGGCGATGCCTGCCAGCACTTGCACAGAGCTTTAGGAATTGGGTTGCATGGCCAAAAGACTTAGTAAGAGGGAGGACAGTGGCGTTGGAGGGGTAAGGGGAGAGGCTTAGCATCTGGCAGTGGTTGTCTAGAGGGAGCAAGACTTTGGGGAGTTATAATTATGTAGATTATTTGGGGTTGAAGGATGTCTGCAGAATCTGCTGGACCCATTCTGTGGAAAATACAAGCTTGCGATTGCTGCCCTGGGCTCCGTTATTTCAGTGGCTCATCTCTGCTGGTGCCATTACAGGAGACTTCAGAGGAAACCTGCAGTGGGAACCTGGGAATAAGCTACTTGAAGGCAAAATTTCTGTCTCATGGTGCTCTCTCGGTTGGGTAGTGCTTGGAAATGTATGGGTTCAGATGGGTTCTCCAGCTCAGAAATGCAGCTCTTTACTGCGGGTGATGCGGGGTGATGTGAGCATGTAGTGCATACAACCGGGTAATGTCTTAGTAGCTGTATAAAAAGCTGGGTGCTTGTAAACTGGTGTTAAATTTTCATAAAACTCCAGTGGCTTGCTGCAGGGAAAAGGCAGGCAATGCACTGCCTGAAGTGCTTTGCTTGATCCTTGTTATCACTTGCTGTTGGGCATAGGGAGTGTTAGGACTGTCAGAAATAGCTGCTTTACAAATCCTGTTTGCAAATGTAATGCCAGGTAGAGCTTGGAAAGTGAATGTCTGCAGTGGTTCCTGGGGAAGGATGCTGAGGATTTTAGTTTTTTGCTTTCTTTTTAAATCCTCCTAAAAATTAGAAGGATTTCCTAGAAATCAGAAATGAGATCATTAGTGCAGGTATTAATGCCAAGCATGAAACTCTCACAGTGGTATTTTTTTCCAGCATAGTTTTCAATAGGCTTATGGTAAGCAATTTTTTTCTTCTTTAGCAAAAGGAACATGAAATTATATAAAAACATTAACTCTTAAAAATGAAAAGATAAAAAATCATCTGAAATAGAAGTTGCAGGAAGCTATGCATACAGTAAAGTAAAACAAATATAGCTTTCTGATACTTTTTATAAATTATCACAGAGATCTAGAAATCCTTCGGGAATTAAATGTTTATAGCAACTTGAAGCACGTCAGGTCAAACTGGCACAGCTATTCAGATTCTTAAGTTTGAAATATTAGTATGAATACATAAGGATTTGAGTTAACTGGTAAATAAAGGTTTCCCCCACTTCTGTGCATTTGACATCTGTTATATTTTAGATGTGATGCCTAGTTTTTCCGTTAATGCTCCTAAAACTGTGTATTTCAAAATGTGGACTAATTCTCTCCCAAAAAAGGGAACCAAAGTTAACAGAAAATCCAAAAAAAGTCAGAATTGAGTGAGTTCATGGAAAATCTGTGATATTTTGCAGCTTGGTAGGAGTATAACGTAAGTGTAATGTGGTACAATTAGTGATTTATACAGTGAGCTCACTGGACGTGTGTACATACAAATGGGGTATGGTTGCAACCACCTGAATAAACAATATTAATATTAAAATTTTCTACATTGGAAAGATAAATGTTGACATCTTATTTAAGTAGCTATTAATTTCTCTGAAATGTACTTGTAACTTTTTAAGTTCTTCTTCCATGTCAACTTTGATTCTTTGTCATGCACTGTAATTTATTTATGTATGTCTGTTATCTCTTAAGTGCTAGAGACATATGTGGAAGTGGAGGATTTTAATCCTTCACTCTAAAAGAATAAAAATAACCCACCAAAGAAAAAAACAAAACAGCAAACTTTTTTTAACTTCATCCTTACTTTAGCTCACATGTGACACTTGGTGCTATTATCTTTTTCTAAACTAGGAACGACAGCGGCTGGAGACAATCCTCAATCTGTGTGCAGAATATTCCAAACCTGACAGCGACCCCGCTGCAGCTACAACAGTTGCTGATGTTCAAAAAATTAACAAAGAACTCGAAAAACTTCAGCTCTCCGACGAGGATTCAGTGTTTGAAGACTCCCAGATGAATCTGGAAACGAGGTTCAGAAGCCACTTGAAATCATCTGCAAGCGATTCAGATTTCTCGGAGGTGAGCAACCACAGTCGTGGCACTGGTGCTTTCCTCCCTTCCCGAGGACTGAGAGCCAATGAGCACTTCAGTGAAACCACCAAGCCTCCACCTTTTGCTGCTCCTGGCTTCTTGAAGGATGCCACAGAATCGTCCTATCTAAGCATCACACCAAAGGTAATGCTCTGTAGGAGGAAAGAGGACAACAACAGGCTGGACTGCTTGAAATCCTCCTTTAGGAATTGGCTGTCTTGGCAGGGACAACAGTTAGGATGGCTTAGGTGTGAGAATTAATCTCAGAGTTCATACAATTTAGCAGCCAGCAAATGGTTATTTCATTTTCTGTGGAAGCTTTTGGTACTGGAAGTTTTTTTTTTCAGAGGGATGTACAGTTTGGGAAGAGTTTTAAGTTTTGTTTTTTTTGTTGTGGTTTTTTTTTTTTCTGAGGGAGAAAGATTTGCTTGAACAATTATGGCTCCTTAAATGAGGAAGGTTTCAGGAGCCCTGCTTAGCACCATGCTGGGATGTAGGAGGGAAGGGAAGCTCTGCTATCTTCTCCCAGCCTGAGGCTCCTGTCCTCTGTAAGAGGAGAATGTTTTTCTCATGTGCAAACCAGAACAGTTCCACAGGAGGTGAAGAGGAGTTGCCTGAGCCAAATTTACTGTCCTGTCTCCTTTCCCAGGGTTGGACCTGAGCCACTTGTCAAATCAGCTATTGCCTCTCATGGGGCACACGGTGAGAGCCAGCCTCCCACTGCTCTAGCCCAGCTCCTCCCTTTAATAGGCTGCAGCTCCTTTCCTGTGTACCTCACACTCCTGTTTCATTACTGAAGGGAAATGATCCCTTAAAAAATGAGCTAACAGCTTTCCTAACAATTTCCTTCAGCTAGGGCAGCAGCAGCAGCCTCCTCCAGCCTGGGGCAGGGGCCTCTTGTCATCTTGGGTCAGTGCCGAGGGTCCAGGGTGCCAGACCAGCAGTGCAGCAATTACTGGTGGCGGGCAGTGTGTTAAATAGCTAGAATGAGGAGCTTAATAAGACCAAGCAAAGCCAAAAAGCAGGTTTCTGTTTAACAAATTCACACCTTGAAAATACTTTCTATGTCTCTCCTTTTTACTCTTGTTTTCACACTGTATGAATTTCAGCACAATTATATGCCTAATATGAATTGTGTTTAACCTCTGCTTAACTTCTGTTGACTATGAAGATGTAAGTATGTGTATAAGAAGAAAGAGGTGTGACAGAAAAACATTTAATCTTATAAAGGGGTGTCTCTCTGGAAGTCTGTCTCTAGAGTCTTTTGGTGTGAAATTATGTTGAAGAGAAACAAGCTATTATGTCTTGGTCTTTCCTTGTCGAAAAGGTAGTAAGACATTTCATTAATAAGTTACTGTGATCTTGTGTTTCTTTCCCATTTGTTACATTATTTGTGCAAGTCAGAGATCCTATTTTAAATCCTTATTAGGAAGTTGAAATCTAAGATGTTATGTCAGCATTATCTGAACAGGATACCGGACAAAAAGAGGCTTTCCTGCTAGGATTACTAATGCTAATCAAGGAATACCATTCATTCATTCATTCATTCATTGTAAAGGGTGTTCAGCTAAGCCCTGAAAAAAGCAATAACAAGCAACAGTGTTAATGAAACACAGCTCATTGTTTTAAAATATCAAGATCAGATTTGTTTGGGAGAAAATGCCTGCTCTCAGAATAGCCATTCAGTAGCTAAGCTGAGCCTCTTTTGAGCAAGGCTGTGTGGTCCAGTGGTTAATGCGAAGCCCTGCACACAGCCCACTTCTAATTCTGACTGGGGACAATGAGCTAGCAGCCTTACCAGAGTAATTGGATCGCAGGCCCCTGGGGTCAGATGAACATGAAGAATACATTTGAAACTTGATACTCTTTGATCTAGCCTTTGCCTGGTATAAACAAGGTCACAGGTATTTTCTTAATAATGTTTATTTCTTGGCACAGTTATCTAGTAAGTAAATGGCAATGAAAGAGCAACGTTAAGGGTACTAGTTCCTCGGTGCTAGCTGGAGAGACAGAACCAACTATTGTCTTTATTTTGCACAAGCTGTCCATCTTAATGGCTGGTTACAAAAATGTCCTATCCTACATCCTGGCTTTTATTGTACAAACAGCTGAAATGTACATAAAAAGCATCTTCATCTATCTGTGTTTTTAAGGGGAAAAATTGGATTTTTACAACCTAAATAGCACAGCATGTAAAGTATTCTCAAAGGTTAGGTTTTAATAATTCCTGTAGCATGAATAGTATTTACTGTTAAGTATAGTATTTACTTCCAATGCCTGGAAGTAAAGTATCATGTTTGTTTCTCTTGTACACCTAAATATAGAAATAGCAATATAGTAGATACGAAATATGTAATGGGTTCCAACCCAGTAGTACAGTACTTGTCTAAAATTGACACAATATGAAAGGGAAAGACAGTGTTTAACTCCTTTTCTAATGAACCTCTTGTAATGTGCAACTGCAGATACCAGAATGCGTAAGTGATGAGCAAAGAGGGCAGGAGCTTGGTCGACTGGAGGAGGAACGCATAGTGATACTAAATAACTTGGAAGAACTTGAGCAGAAGATCAAAGATTTAAATGACCAGATGGATGAATCCTCGAGAGAGGTATGAAATATGTTTTGGTTTTAAATGCCTTGCTTGTTAGGTATGTCTACATAGCATAAGTCTGGGCTCAGCAAGTACACAGGGAACCCATGGATGTACGTAGCCTTCGTATTCTGTACTTTTTCACAAGAATTAAGCACAGAATCAGGGACCTGGCAGTTTCCTACTATGAAGATTATTTTTCCCCAGCAGGAAGATAGATGTGATGCTCGGATTAGCCGTTCCCAGCTGTAACCATTATACTCCTAAATGGAATTAGAACAATCTTGCTTACTGAATGGTCACTCAATTGATCTAAATACCTTGCGACACTTGGGAGTTTTATGGTGGTATCTCCTGTGACCCTTTAAAGAGAAAGGAAGTAAGACAACTTCCTTTTAAGCCTCCTTGGCTTTGTGGTGGCAAGGTTATGTTGGCAGCCTCTTGACTTCTGGAATCTCACAGTTACAAGCTAAGCTGGCCAGGCATTTGAGTTGTGTTTGCTCCAATTATCAGCGACAGGAAAGAAACAGCTGTTGCAGAAGGGTTTCCTACGGAGCCTGGGCACAGAGAGTCGGTACAGTATCACAGCAGGAGGAAGCACAGAGGAGAAGCATTAGAAAAGTTTTGGAAAAAAGAATCTTCAAACTAAACTTGGTTTGGACTTTATTTTGCAGTATTTTATGTTGCAGTTTTTCTTTTTCTCAGATTTGTGATCTCTTTTTTTTAACTTCCTTTTGTGGGAGCAAACTTTTTTTTTTTCCTTTTTGAAATGTTTCTCTGTTGTGAATAATCACCAATTCACTCCCCTTCCCCCAGAAAATAGTGTGTATCAAGATTTCTTTTTAATCTGGACTGCTTCTGAAAAATGTTTTGTATTCCTAGTTGGATATGGAATGTGCCCTTTTGGATGGGGAACAGAAATCTGAAACAACAGAGCTGCTGAAAGAGAAGGAAATATTGGATCATCTAAACAGAAAAATAGCTGAGCTGGAGAGAAATGTTATTGGTGAAAAGACAAAGGTAACTTAATTTTCTTAGCTAGCTGTGTGCTCCGTTCCCCTTGATCTTCAAAATACATTTCTATGATTAACATGTTGATGGAGGTTGTTTTATGAAGTACTGTCTATAAGTAAATTGACTTGATATATATGGAAGAAAAAAATAGTTGTCTCACCATCATCTCCCTGTAACAGTCTTGTTTCCCAAGGTGTGCTTGACAAGCAAAATATAGTACACTTAAGTAAAAAGACCTGACCTACTGTGAAGATATATTTGATTAAAGCCAAATCCAAACCCTATATGGATTTTTTTATATCTGTTTGAAAGAAGAGGATTAATTGAACTGTTCCACTTCCCTCCATTGTGGGTTATGTATTTTGAATTTTTAAAAAGTGATAAAAATTAATCCTTTCTCAACAAAGGAAAAGAACGAAAGAAGGCTGTGGTTTCAGATGATGGCTTTACCTATTATGGTATAGAATGATGCATGAGACATCTGTCAAGTACGTAGTTTTAAAACAATTAGTTTGGTGTGTTTTGTTTGCTGACTGACTGACAATTTTAGTAATGCAGAGCATTCTCTCCGGAATTAAGTCAAAGGAATTAATTAGTTCTCGTAGACAGTCAGATACTTACTTAGCTGCTGTCAAATATGCAGCAAATCTATGTAAGTGTGTATTGGCAGAATAAGATAGCACAATAGTAAGATTTTAAGTACGGAAACAGAAAGAGCCAGCAAGATGAAGCTGTTCCCCTCAAACCAGTGAGTATGGTTTCCCTCCATCAGGCTCTCCTCTGGCCTTTCCAGGTGGGAAGTTCCCTTCTCCACGGGGGGTGTACCATGGCCAATAATATTTCAAGGTCAGGAAGTTTTTCCAGAGCTTTCAGACAGTAATGTTTCCTTTTTAAATTTCATCCTCTACCTCATAATTTAAACCTGTCACTTATGGAAATACTCTAGCTAGTCTCTCCTCCTCTTTTTTTAAGCTTTCCAGAAATATCTGGAAGTCTTCTGCATTATTTGCCTTCGCTTAGACAAGTTGTGCATTTTTAGCTCTTTCACAGTTCCCATTTAATTCATGGCTTGCAGCTTGCATTGGTTTATTCTGAGCTTTTTGTCTTCAGTTTCTGCCTACCCTGTCATAACCCTGAACACTGTTTTGCAGCTGTTTTGCATCTGCATGCATCAAGCCTGTGTCTGAGAAGGAGAATGGTGCTCCCAGCACTCTGCCCTGTGGAGTGACAACATGCATCGAGTTTAAGCTTGAATTTCTGTGGACTTTCCTGCCTGTACTTTTCCTTTTTCTCCTGTATCCCTCGGTGTTGCCTGTGGTCATCTTTTAAGTTGTCCATGGAACATGTTTCGCACTTGCTTTTTTAGTATAAAGATGAGTTTAAAGTTGGTAACAGCAGCTAGGGTGGTGCAAGCAGCTACCCTCCAGAAGGATGCTGATAGAAGTTTTGGTTGGTAGGTGGTAACAAATAACATTTCCACAAATTCAAGAGATCTTTTGCCTTTATATTTGTTCTCCAGGAGTCTCCAAGTTCAATGAAACTAATGGAAATTATTCTAAAACCTGTAGGTTGTTTAAATTTCCTTGCAATCGTATGATGGAACATTAGTGTGTAGCAGTCAAAGCTAAAATGCCAGGTCTATTTTAAATTTTCAGATGAAGTGAAACATTGAAAGCAGCCTAGAAAAAGCAGTTTTGTTATTTAAAAGGCAAGTTCACTCAAAACATTTTTTCAGTATGAAGCATGCCACTAGTCAGATCAGTTACAATATTTTAGTTGTCTTTTCTTTTCTGTTATTTTTTTAAAAACAAACAAACAAAAACCCCAGCTGTGAGTGTGTGCTCTAGACTTAAAGCCATGGCTCAGTTAATACTGAAATTTTCTTTGTAGAAACAAACTCTTAAGAGAGCCCACAGGTTTTGTTCTGGAAGGTGTCTGAAAGCATTGCATAAAAGTGAAAGTTTAGAAAAGAAATGGGAGACAAGCTTCTGCAAACAGGCAGAAGAATATAAAGTGACAGCTGAAGAGTTCTGGAGAAAGTAGTGTCAGCCAGCGAAACAGATGGTGCTCATCATGTCAACAAATAAAGCTTCTGGCTGACTTGAAACAACAGTGTTTTTTAAAGCTTGATTTGTGTGTCTGTACGTTTAAGGTTACAGCCCTGCAGATCTGATGCAAGATAGGCAATGTCTTGGCTTTGTAGTAGTACAGGACCAGAAAAGGGGTGCTTGGGGGGAAATGCTAGGTTGTCCTTGCTGCTGAAATAATTTGAAACTTACGACCTTTTCAACAGAATTAAGGCTGAGGTTTTTGCCAGTAGTTGCTACCTTGCTGATGGTACTTTTGTTTCTTGTGAGAACAAGTGTCCCAGTGTCCACACAGTGGTCACAGTTTCTTCTTGTTGCCTGAATATTCACTCCTAATAATACTGGTTGTCTTGGTTTGGTGGTGCTTCCCGGCAAGGAGCTGATGGGTCCCATCACTTGGACAGTGGTTACATTTCTGTCAGGGTAAGGGAGTGATATCTGAATAAACTGCACAGTGTCATCTTGAGGTGAGAGGGAGAGTTAATTTCACTCACTAAACGATGCTGGGGCATTAGTGCTGTACATGATGGCACTTGTCTCTGGAGCGACTTGAGTGTCTCCTGGAATTTGCCACTGATCTCAGCACCTGTTTGACAGGAAACCCCTGCCTGCTTGTGTTTCATCCTTACCCATGCACCTGTTTGAAAAACCTGTGAAATTCTTAAAAAGAGAGATCATAAACTGCAACCTAATTGTTGTGCCATCCTAAGTACTTTAAACAGACGCTAGGTGGAAGTTTGTGTGCTACTTTCTACCTGATTCATTTTTTTTAATGCCCTGTGCACAATTCATTTAGATGAGGACACAAACTTTTGCCAACTTCTGCACATTTTTAAAGCCAAAGTTTAAAAAGAACTTTGTAGCCCTTGTGAGGCAAGAGAATTGACTGGAAAATGCACTCAAAGGCAGAAGGCAAAGAGAGTTGCGAGTTCAGTTTCAGGCTGTGCCAGCGTGCTCTTTGCTGTGGTACTATGTCTCTGTGTCCCAACACCTTGCTTGTAAATCAGGAATGGATTTTGTAATTCTGGGTTCATACGTTGTATGGTATGCTGTGTTCTGATCTCGTTCGAGTCCTGTGTTCAGCCCTAGCTGAACATGTGGCGGGACTAATGATGAGGAAGAACGAATGAATCAGTGGGGAAGATAACGTAGCGCACACCCTGGGACAAGTTGAAAGCTTTCCTTTGCTTTTGTGAGTATGCCACCACACGCGTTGTAAGGAATGAAGCAATTAGTGTTGATTTACTTAGGTTTTGGAAATAAGAGCTGTGACTGGTTGCTGTTTTGAAAAGAAGATGACAAAGCCTTTCAGCCCTGTTGCAGAACTCAGCCTAATTCTGGCTGTGGTGCACCTCTGCCAGGTACAAGTGCTGGCAGGACTCTCTTGTCCTGGCTGGGGTAGCTACTTCCAGAGCTGGGAAACGGGAATGGTTTGGCACGGCCTGTGCTTTCTGCTGTGCTGGAAATTGCGTTACTGTGTGGAGGAAGGCCTAGCTTTGCCTCCATGGTCGTGCTTCTTCTTGTCTCATTCTTCTTTTTTTTTTTAACTGCCGTGTGCTGCATATTTGGTTTTATCTACAAAAAAAGATGACCAACTATGTATTTGAAGGGCAGCATTTAAGATAGTAATTGCAGGTTCCAATTATGCAGGGACAGCCCAGATAAGTCACTAGTAACCCAACTGGCCAGATGTAGCTTGAAGCTTTCCAGGAAAGAGCTTTGCTACAGATATTGACAAAATTACTTTGAGCACAGCCTGCTCTAGAGAGAGCCGAGCTGGGCAGTACCCAGAAACAGGCAAGCAGGTGAGCCATCTCCCCTTTTCTATGCCACCCAACCCAGTTTCCTGTAATTACCGTGGCAGTCATTAGTGTTATGGTACTGTAGGTGTACAGTAATGGTGCGATTGTTTCAAATGGAATAGCCCCTCAGGTCCCTGGTGCTGTTTACAATTATGACTTCCTCCCGATGACCCTTCGCTCACAAGACTTAGTTCAGGATTGGCGTTTCTCTGTAAGGAAGCTGGAGAAAATAGGATTTACCCGATTGGGTGTAATCCAGATTTGCAGAGTACTTTCTTTTCATACACTGCTTCCTTAGTGTGTGTGGTTTTAAAACATGCAGTCCAGCATAGGTGGAGAAGGATGCTTAATGATTCTCCCAGCCTGACGTCTCCAAGTTAAAGCATGAGGTTAAAAATAGCAACATAACTGGGGAAAGAAAGAACAGATCAGTGAGCATGGATAAACAGGAATAACTGAAAATGAGTAATGAATTCAGCAGAAGTGCTGTGGTAGGTAATCACAGCTAAATGGGAGTTTTGGCAGGGAGTTTGAAAGCAATTATTTAGGCGAAGGTATAGACTGCATTTTAGGAGAGGAAGGTTATTCCTCTTTCTGGAGGACCTTTGCCTTATGTCGTGGTAGAAATATGTACTCTGGGACTCTTTTATCAAACTGAGTTTCCTGTCCCTTTTCAAGAGCAGAAATCAGGAGCAGCTGGCAGCAGATAACACATATTTTTTTGGAATATATTTAATTTTGTCTACATGCTTTTGTGGAAATATTTTTCAGTCATTAACATAATATCCCAGATGTGCCAAAACTTTTGAAGCTCAGCCTCTTTGCTGAATTAATACTGCAAAGACTTGCATGAATTGAGCCAAGGAAAGAGCAGCTGTCTGATGAGCCATATGAAGGGGAACACCAGCAATCAAAGTTAAATATAATGGTGGTCTCTTCTCAGTTCTTTCTCTTCTGCAATCAAAATTCCTGATGTTTTTTATCCTGATGAATCTGATAAATTTATTATCTTGTAGCATAGCCTTTTAAATCTTTCCTGGTCAGGTTCCAGTTCACCAAGATGTAAGCAAGTGTTTTAAATGGATGAGTTATCGTGTCTATGACATTATTAACCTCC